CAAATTGGATCTCGTTCACTTGTAGTTTTCTGTTATTTGATTGTTACTGTAATATTCCGTGCACTTGTAGTTTCTGTCATTTCACTGTTACGTTAGTGTCATTAAGACTGCACCGACATTTGGCTATTATAAGCACTGGAGTCCAGGCAAATAAAGTGTCGTGTTCATCGCACAAAACGCGCAGTTTTTCCGCGTAGAGAAAAGTAGCAAGGCGCGCCAAAGATTGTTGTATCACTATTTTACACCCTTACCTTAGTATTCATATTCCTCACACTGTTTTCTTTACATTTTCTGCTGTTCTGGAAAGGAGAATTTGTTTAACGATCAAGACCCCCCTAAAATCCCCCTTTATTCTCATCAGGGACCTCAAGCAAGGTCGACGGAAAGGACGACGACGACGACGACGACGAATATGTCTGTGCGAAGTCTGGGTCGAGACCGTTGTTCACTGGTAAATAAAAGGGCGGGAAAAAGCAAACAAATGAAAAAAATTGTTTCAAAACTCCAGTTTTACCATTACGGTTTCTTTTCACGAACTTCAGGAGCTTTTTCTCCTTAGCCACCTCCATGGATATTTAAATGATGAAGGACTATTGCTGTTATACGAAGAATGCTGTCCAAAAAATCCAGATTTTCCGTACGAGAATTGTAGCAGGTTTTAACTCGAAGACATGAACGATTCAGAGTGTGTGCTAGACTGATTTAGATTCTGAGAAAACGTGACCTTCCACTACTCGCAAAAGTCCTCCAAATTCCAGATAGCTTTACGTGCTACCACAGATCCGGTAATAATCGCCTAAACAAATCTATTACAACTCTTGAAACCTACCAGTCTCATCCGCCATTCTTAAAGAAGTGCCTACAAAAAGAAACAAAAATAAAGCGATTTTCAAAACGTTACGGCCAAAAATATGATCAAAAAAATTTTTCTAACTAATTTAGATGGCATATTCTTAAATTATTTTGGTTTTCTAGGGACAAAAACTTTCAAACGGAGAAAAAATAGCCCAATGAATACTCACGTTCACTACTCGACGTAAAAATGCGCGATTTCACGTTGTGAACTTCCAAGAAAAGTGTCCTTCCAGTGAACAACGAGCGGTGGACAGTGGAGTGACATCGTTGCATGCGCATTACCCCTAGATAATGGAAAATTACTTCCGGTTCGTCGTCGTCCTTTTCGTCGACCTTGCTTACAAAGGATCCTAATATCATCTCTATAATTGATTCCAGGGTGATAGGCAGAGTAAAGAAAAATTGGAAGCCAGTCACTCCACAGGTGGGCTAAGCATACTGTGTGTGATTTTGGGGTCTAAAGGTCATTAGCGGGAATACCTAACAAGTCAAAATTGAACTTTAAGCGAAAGCTACCGTAGCCCATAAGTGCAAAACACAACACAAACACTGAAAACACAACACACACAAACTGAAAACACAAAACACATGCTAAAAAGACCACAAACTTATTTGAAACACAATACATTTATCTGAAACACAACACACTGTGTTTTGCACTTATGGGCCACCGTAGGTAGAAAGCTAATGCGCTCACGGTCGTTTTCATGCTATTTTGGCGACTTTCTTTGTACCACATGTTGTGCTACTTTATTTTTATATAACGACAAGGTGGTTACAGTAAGGAGAATTGACACGTCATATTCCTCGCTTTTTTATTCTTGCTATATTTTTTCTATTCTTTTTATAACTTTTCCTTTTTTTACGGCACATAATTACGCTTAAAATTCAATCTTCAACATGTTAGGAATTCCTGTTATGACCTTTAGACCCCCAAATCACACACAGTATGCTTGGGTTGTCTGTGGTCACTCTTTGGGGTGAAAGGGCTTAAGAAAATAATGTTTAGTAGCTATAGGAAAAAGGCGGTAAACATTTTTAGGTCAGTTGAGGAAAGATTCTTTAAAATAAAACGTCTTATATCACCTGTTTCTAGGGTTTTTTTTGGACACTGGCATATTTGACACTAATCAAAAAGGTTATAAATTGCGATATATAATTTTCACTCTAAAAAGGAAATAAAAAATTTTTTAATTTGTCAGAGTTTACAACCTCATATCATCAACTTCAACAATAACTTAGTTACTCATAATTTCCTTGATCACTTTTCCTACCTCATCCAGCTGTTATAAATCTGATCATTCATTCTCCCCTTAACATAGCGCTAACTCGCCGAAAACGCTTCAAAATGGCCTGAGACGCTAGGAATCAACAAAGAAAACAACAAGGCAATAAGGTAAGTCCATTTTATTTCAAAACAAGACATTTTTTTTCTCTCTTTTAAAGCAAACCGATAACATCCCATACAAACCTTTATAAATATAAAACGTTGCGCAACACGGTAAGAGTCACGTCCGTTTTTCTAGTAGTGAGCTTGGGCTGCCTGTGAAATCAGTTATGAGAATTTTGTGCTAGAATAAGATAACAACTTCTACCTGATAAGTTTGAGAATTCTCATGGCTTGTTTGCTGGACAATGTATGGACATTATAGGGAGAAGTTAAATTTTAATCACTTCTGGGTCAGTTAAAGGGTTGAGATCAGGATAACAAACATCTACCTGATAAATTCTTAAAAAGGGTACTTTGTGGGATATCTGCTCTATGGTTTGCTGTATTAAGAACATATTAAAATTCTTTAACATATCTTTTAACTAAAATGATTTACATACTTTTGCACTATTGAACCTTAACTACCTTATTCATCCAATTTTCTTCATTTTATATTCTAATAAATCACAAAGAATGGTTCTTTGTCATGAGTCTGCTACACAAAAATATCAAATCAGTTATAAATATTTGGTTTGAGAATAATTTATGCTCTCTCGCACCAGTACATCTCAACTTTGTATGGAAGGATAACCGTATCTGTTCCTAGTTTATGTTTGTTTAAAATTGATTTAATTTTATCAATTTCCATTTTCTTTTCCTTTTCACTTTTTATGGCTATGACACTAATTGATAATAGTCTCTTAACAAACTCATCTAATGTCAAGATCTGTTCAGTCTTTAAACTTTCATCACCTTCTAATGACCCAAATTTATCAGATGCCATTATCAATCTCTTCCATTCACCACTTTGTGCTTTTGGTGTGTTGGACTGCACATATAAGGGAAGAATTACATCATCATCCATTTCTTTCACCCAAGGTACTGAGTGATCACGTACATTCCACACCAGACCCAACTTACCACCAGGAACTAGTACACGTTGAATTTCAGAAAGCGACTTTTCGTTGGCAAACCAGTGGAAACACTGTGCAGCAATCACTGCATGAACACTGCCATTAGGCAAACCTAAAACATTCAACAAAACAAAACTGGAATGGGTTACTTTGTTGTGTTTTTGAGCACAAAATGATGGTGAATAATCTGGCACCAGTTATCAAACAACCACCCTCCTTGGCTACCAGAGATGAAAATCACCATAAATTATCATGAAAGCATATCCCTAGTGCAGCTCAAAAGGCCTTGTTACTTCCTTTACCACCATCTGTTTAACGCTGCATTTACAAGTACCCTATAAGGTTTCTTTTTATGATACTTTCAGCATTTTAGCCCACTTTACCACAGCCAGTAAACCATTGTATAACATGTGGGTAGGAGTTCTTCTATTTCTCAAAGTTAACGAAAGCTTCTTTTATTATGGTCCTTGGTTTAACAAAAATTTTTCTACCATCTTTCTGGTACACATACCAAATTATTCATAGAAAAGGATAGGGAAGCAGTGTTTACATTCTTGTCTACTTGTCTACTTGTATGAAAGGGGTCTACTGTACCTGTCTGGTTACAAGTATTCTGTAAAAGAATGAGTGGTTAGACCTTGGAGTCATGTGTTTAGTCCTTGTATACCAACCTTTGTACTCCCCACCAGGCCCCCCTTGTGCCAAAGCCAGCTTCCCCCCCATCCCACTCAACCATCTCGGCCTCTACCATCTATTGTCGATAGAGTTAATTACTTCTATTGTTTTAGCATACCGAAAAATCACAACATATAATCCATACCAATATTTTCAGCTGAAAAATCCTTCATCCCTAAGGTTGGGAAGTTTTGCTCGAACTCCTCTCTCATAGAAAGAACCGGCTCGCTTGCAATTATTTCCACATTACTGTCGCGAAGAACCTTTTGTAAAACATCAGTGAACTTCCCTGTTCCTGCTCCAAGCTCTAGGATTCTCAATGGCTGGTTGGATGACCGATCTTGGCGTGAAATGCCAAGTTTACCGATCAACAACTTTACGGCCTCCTTTGGATAAGTCGGCCTGACCTGATCATAAAGTTTCGATGTTTGAAAACCGCTCTTGGCAGTATGATGAACAGTTTCTTGTGATATTGTGTCAAGATGGTATTTAGCAACGGAAAATCGTTTCTTCTGTCCAGAAGCAGTTTTGAGCCAAGAGAAAATTCTGATCAAAGCAGGTCGACGTAGGTTAAAGAGAGGTGCAATACTGTCTTTGAGCAAGACTTGCATCATTCATCGATTATCAATCCCCAAGTACACCCGTGAGTTCCTGCGTGAGTCGCGTGAGTCAAATCCGTAATTTGCGAGCAGGTTGTACTTCTTTCAGCGGTTTTCTTGAGTTGCAAAAAGCATGTGGTGTAGTGGATAGATGTGAATAAACAAAATGGCTGACTCGGCAACTTGGTAGAGACAGTTTGGCAGAGAAGTTAGCGGGCGAGGGTGACATAAGGAAGGTTTACATTTTACTGAATATTTTTCTGGAATCGTTAATCTTTACGGACAGAAGTTACATTTCTTGTCGTCAGTGGTAGAAGACTTAAAATTTATATGCAAATTAATGCTATTACATAATTCGAGTGAAACGTTTCTAAACTGTGTGAAAGCTGGTGCGAAATTCCAAAAAGGTTCGCTTCTACCCTCTGTTTGTCAACGTTAAGGAGAATGGATGTAACTTTGGGGAGCTTAGAGGGAAAAGAAGAAGAAAAATTTCAGGAGAATGAGGAGACAATCCCTGTAAGTCACAAAACAAAGAGCTATGGTATATCTATTGATTCTGGCTTAATCCCTTCGGTACCTGTTGAGGAGCAAGGAGCAGTCTTGAGAAACTTGGGAGTGAATGTGTTCAACCAGGATGAATTTGAAGAAGGAGTTTTAAAGCAGGTAGATGAAGCGATTGCTGTGAAAGAAACAGAGGAGATTGTGAGAGGATGGGAGAAAAACTTGAAAGCTGTGGATGAAGATATCAGGTTAGCTTGTTCGAGCTTGGTCATCAATGATCATCATTGCAATCTCCAATTTGGAGATCGCAGTGATAGAAAATAGCTGTCATTGTTGTTCATGGGGTTTCTTGGAGTTTATTAGTGACCATAGAGTACAGTTCTTCTCAAAATTAATCAACTTCTTGAACAGACTTATTGAATCCCCAGTACACATTGTGCATTCTTATCAGATTAGTAATAATAATCATAATAATAATAACTTTTATTTATATAGCGCTTATATCCTGAGCTCATGGTGCTTTACAACACTGTATGGGGGACTTTTACCAGACTGCTAAGCAGTTTACAATCAAATAAAGGTGAATCTAACAGATGCCCCCTCC